GCCCACGTGGTTACAAGTGAAATATATGAAATAAAACCATCCTTTATGTAAAATGTCCTACTAGATAATGTGCCACACGGGATATTGTTTATATGTTTTGATAACGATACTAACTATAAATTATAATTCAAGAGATTTCAATTGCTCATTATGTTTCTTTTTTTTATTTTATTTAAGAAAATAAAAAGCCTCGATAGCCGTGACTATTGGCTTGTATTATGTTTTGTTATCGAATGACCATTAATAAGGCATGAAAATAAAGTTACTTAAGAAGTTACTATGAAAAAAAAACGTGTTTAAGAATTGCTTACTTCTAGTTAGGTATCAATAATACATTTTTAATAATAATTTCAAGTGTATATTATATCGATCACTCATTAGACATTGTCAGTTATTGTTTATATATTAAAGTAAGATATATCGATATATCGAAAGAGAATATTAAACTAGACTTGTAAGTTATGATATTTGGCCGAACAATAAAATCGTCCACCTATTCACCCAGTAAACGATCATAGAATTGCGGTTTTGAGAAAAGTTGATGTACTTACATCTTTTGATCCCTTGCAACAATCGTCGATATAATATAATCATAACACTGCAGTTTCCGGAGGGAAGAAATGTGTTCGCAGACCGTGGACCTATCTATAACAAACTCGCCTCGTGTACTTATAACAATAATAATAATATTATGCGCATACGATGTCGTATAATATTATTATATTGTAACAAATTTTGCGTAGTTTTATGTATCGGAAGAGTTTCGTGGCTATAGAACACGTGTTGCTCGAAAGTTAAAACTTTTTACGTACTCGTCGTTTCTTGTCGATATACACACGAAATGCGTATAATAATAATATTATATAATATTGTATACGACGGCGAAAAACCGATTCGCACACACGCACACGTATTCTTTTGCATAATAATATATACGACGCTATTTATAGTATTATGTTGATATTTCTCCGGTTCGAAAAATAAATACACACAGCATTACGGCACCCGCGAAAACACTCGAAAAGTACGCACTTCAAATAGAGTGTGCGTGTGTGTGTGTGTGTGTGCGTGTGTGTGTGTAAGTGTTATGGAAATTACGGGCATAAGAGCATCGATTGACAGTATAGTGTTAAAACATTGTTGCTGGCACTGACATTCTACTCCGAACGCGAGAGGGTGTGTATGTGTGAGTGCGACGCGCTTGGTGTTCGATGACTTTTCCGTCCGTATATTTAATCATATTATATTAAATAGGTACGCGAATATAACGATAATATTATTATATCGAACGAACGACGGATTCAAACTGTCAAAAATATACATATGAGAGTTTCAATCGATAAGAGCTTCTATATATTATTTATTTATTTTTTAAATAACATGCAGTTGGTCCAATTATGGATAACGTAATATATGGTAGAGATATCACAGTAGAGATATAAACTAAAAGACCAACATATTTTTCTGCAACAATTAATAAATGATAAATATTAAATATTAAATGAATATTATAAGAATATACCTATATAAAATAGGTATACATTTATCATCAATAAAATTCTACATTATTTCCTTTTTATTTCTGACGTATAATACAATATTTACAGGTGAACATTCCACATAGTTTAGGGAATAATGAGCTACACAAAATAAGTCTATAATTCTGATATTATGATTATTTATTTTAATGGAAATATTAGCTATTATTAAGAATCATTTACCACCGAGTAAAATACATGTTTTAATGAATATATCTCTAATCGATTTTACATTATAACTTAAAAAAAAAGCAATGTTTTTTTTCTGTTCAGGTCAACCAAAAAATATTAAATATTTTGATAATAATTAATTATGGATCTCTATTTTAGAAGAATATTAACTTAAAAAGTATCAAATAAAAATAATTTGAAACGAATAAGTTTAAATCTGTAGTGCCTGTGCAACTAGCGGGAAAGTTGGCGAAAAGTGCCTATTTTTGGCTACCGATGTCGAGGGTTCCAAGCACGAAGGACAAATTAGATCGGCACATACGAGTCGCATGCCTATTAGTCTAGACTTTTGTTTCAGTTTAATCTTGAAATAATATTAACAAGAATTCAACATTCAAAGCTTAATTATTATATTTATTTTTGTAAAGTGGTTTCAAAATTGATTTATAATTTTAGAAACTATTTTATTTTGTATATTAATACTTATTGATATTAGTGACATTTGCTAAGATCTATAAAATTATATAATAAACTGTTTTTTTTTTGTTTACATTCAAATATTTTATAACACTTATAATATTAAATATAGTTTTTAGTAGATTGTAAATAACAAATATCTGATAAGTGTATGATAACATAACAATTATTAAGGATTATGTACAAGCTTTTTACATAATTTAATTTACATTATTGATTATTAATTTTTTATTAATTTTATTTACTTAATGATTATTGTTATTTTTAACTACTATGATTTGTCAAATAGGTGCATAAATATTTTAATTGTGAATAACGAACTAAAAAACGATCCAAACCCTGAGGTCGAGTTAAACAAGTGCTGCGGAGAAAATAAAAAAAACATACGAAGAGATATACCAATTTCTTATTTGTACATTTAAAAGTCATTACTTCAAATAATATATCTTTTTATATATTAAATTGTCAAAATCCATCTATATAATATTTTTTTTTATGATTTTATTGTATTTAGGTCTTCTTTTTTTTAGCTGAATATCAGTAAGTATATTGAAATAACCAAGGTTAATATTATTCAATAATACGTTACAAATTGTTCGATTTTCAAAATCTTAATAAAATTCCATTAGTTTGTCAAAAAATATGTCATTTCTATCCAACTGAAATATTGAGGGTTCTTAAATCAATTAACACACCATACATATTATGTAAGAATAGTCGTTAACATATCATAAACAACATTTATGCAATTAAATATTTTCTACGAGAAAATTATAAAAATAAACTTTGCTGAGAAAGCAAAAAGTCTTTTATTTGAAAAAAAAACTCGTGGAATGAAAATCGAAAGAAACGTCTATCGATAGATTTCATAACATAATATGTTTATTCGTCCGGATGTGCAATAATATTGATGATGACACGGTTAGTATAAATAACTAAAATGCACCCAAAGCTTAAGTATCTACACCGCTGAAATCGCCGAAACAATATTTAGAAAGACACATAACATATGTGAGCCTGATGGAAAACGGAAATCAAAACTAAAAGGACAATCGAAATATTTTTTAAATGCTGGTCGAATGGAGCAGAATGAATCCGCGCGCCAACCTATCATGATATAGCTACTCCTCAGCCGCGAGAACCGTAATAAACCCGTTTAAGTTCCACTTGTATAGGTACCGAAACTTTTTGGAATGGTTTGTACTGGACAACAAGAAATGTACAACACACCAGATATATTTTACTGGAATTTCAAGTAGTATTGTATTGGAATATCTGTACAGGCAAAGTTCTTGTTTTGAGGACAAACTACGTATTTCCGTGTGTATACCATCACCGCCTGAACCTTATCTAACCTAAGCAGAAAAATGTTGTAAACAAAGTGGCCACATTGCTTCAAAAATGAGATACTGTGACCGTCGAGTGTTTGATTCCTTCAAAAAAAAAAAAAATAATAATAATAAAACAATATCTAGACCGTTTTCTTGGACCATCAATTTTTCATTATCAAAATAATAAATTTCCATCCACTTATTCATTTGAATCATTTTCTGGTAAAGAATATTAAAAATCATCTTGATATAAATACATAGTGATATATTATTTTCTTATGATAGCTTTGAACTATGATATGACTGTGAACTCTTAACTTCCAATTAAAATATAATATATCATTATAAATTATCGTACGTTTTTTAATTGCCTGCCTTTATACTATTATATAACCTACCTACCTGTGAATATAATTCGAATGGTTTCTGTCATCATTTCGTACATAAAGCACATTATGAAATAAATAATTTTAATAATTAAAAGATGATTTTGATGTATTTTAGAGAAAAAAAAATAGACGTGATTATACAGTACAAAGAACGTGTGGAGAAATTATAACTCTTGAGTATTTTTTTTTTTTAGTATAAAAGTAAGTATCTCATATTTGGTGAAAAACCGAGGTCCCGCCCAAACACACGTCTCCTATTCATTGTATGTGCCTTTCATCTCGTAATGAGGAGGGGGTGATTAGGAGAGGGGGGCACTGGAATATACAACAACAATAATATTATATATTATAATATACGATAACAATACTATATTATAATATAATATTATTATGTGTAGTGGTGCGTTACACTCGAGTCCCGGGCATTGTGTGCGGGGCGCGTTTCGAGGACATACCCTCGCTGTTAACATCTATATATCTATACACCGAAGTCCCGGCTCGAACGAGCTCTTTACGTCTCGAGGACGCGACAACGGTGGCGTCGTTTATATAGTGGCTGTTCATCGCGTTTATTATATTATTATTGTTATTATATTATTATCTGTACATAAATATACGTGTATACGAACCCTGAGTCCCTCGAAACCGAGTGAGGTACTCGAATAAGAAGACTCTCCCCGAAAAGGCACTCTGCTCAGTGCGAATTTAACTATACGTGTACACCTCCTCTGCACCGGTACGGTTTTTAAGTGCAAAAGGTGTTGCCTACAAAGTCCTTTATGACTAGATCTACAAAATATATTTTCTCCGCATTTTGTTTTTGTGGTACCTATATAGGAAAGCGTTTCTGCACGAACGATGAGACTTGGTGCGCAAACGATTCAGCATAGCCGAAAGTACTAATTTCCAAACTACCCTCCCCCTACACAAAATACCGTGGAAATACACTCTTAAAAATTTTCTTTTTACGATATTTCGGTTAGTTTTTATGCACGAATTCAATTCTGATATGAACCAACGGCGGGACTTGGTGCACAAAGTTGTGAAAAGTTTAAATTTTGATAACAAGGAACAACAAAAAACAGTATACTCACGCGGCATGCGTGCAAGGTGTCGATGGAGCCCAAAAGGCGACGCAGGCCACCAGCCACGCGGACATGCGGCGGACGGCCGCCGCCGATGACAACGAAGAAGAAGAAGAATGTCGGCGGGCTGCAGCAGGCGAGTGCCTCATAGCCGGCAACGGCAGCGGAGACGCGTCCGACGAGACCACAGAGTCAGCGGCCGGATACGGCAGTCGGGCGCGGCTATCGGTGGCCACGGCGGCCCGCAACCGGGACGGGCCGCGCCCGTGTCGGTCGTGTTGACGGTGATGATGATGGTGGTGGTGATGATGCCGGTGGTGGTGATGACGGTAATAGTTGTGGTGATAGTGGTGATGGTTGCGGTGATCGTGTTGGTGATTCAGACCGCGGCGGCTGTGCTGCGGGTCGCCGGTGTGCCGGCACCGGCGCCGGTGGTGTCGGTAATACGATGGCGATAGCCGCCGGCCGCCACACGTCATCGTGGCCGTGGCCGCTGCGGCTGGTACGGGCGGTGATTGTGGTGCTGTCGGCGCGTCGTCGCGGTCGTCCCGCGGGCCAACCACCGATCTGGCACTGCCGTCGCCAGAGCACCATATACGGCAACGTCGTCGCCGCGGTCGTCGTCGCGGTCGTCGTAGCTAGGTGTACAAGGTGTGGGGGTGGGGGTTGGCCAACCGCCGCCTTTTCCTCTCTCGACGTTCCAGGGGGTCGTAGTCGGCCGGGCTTGTCAGTCGGAGAAAACGTAAGCGAAATCACTAAAACGCGACACGCGGTAAATATGCGCTGCTGTTTGCCGGCGGGTCAAATGCGCATAACAACAACAAAATTAATATACCTGTTTAACAGCACGGCGGACGACTTTAGCCGGGATATGTCCGCAGAGCCGGGCTCGCGTATACACACGTACGCGACGTACCTATACGTGGTGCAGAGTGCGACGCGCGCGCCGTGCGCTTTGCGGACGATGGAGAGTGAGAGAGGGAGACGACAAGGGTACGAGAGAGCGCGAAAGAGACCGCGCGCGCCCGAGCGGCCGAAAGAGAGACGCCGCCGCGGAGCAGCGACAGTAGATGTGGAATAAAAAGGACCGGAAAAATAGGAAAAAGCGTGTTCGCACGCGCGTGCGTATTGATGTGCACGATGTGCGGGTGTATAGGTGTGTAAGTGAGTGGGTGTGTGTGCGGGTGTGGGTGTGCGGGTGTGTTATGTGCGCGAGCGACCGTCCGTCCGCGAGCGCGATTGTCCGTGCGCGCCGCGGTCCCGGAGAGCTTTCTCCAGGGCTGTTTGCGCGCTCCGGCAGCTGGGCGACGGGACGCCCCATGCCGCCGCCACCGCCCGGGTATTCCGCTTGGCGCGCACCAACACTCTCGCGAGCGTTGCGGCGGCGGTGGTCCGGCACGTGGTGGCGGGGTCGGCGGCGGTCGCGCATAGTTGTACGCCGCGCGCGTCGTATTGATTCGGCACGGGCCGCCCGACACCCGGTTCTCCGTCCTCACCGTCTACGAGACCCCGTCTTCGTCACCCACCTACACCCGCGTAATACTCGCTCGCGACCTCCGCCACCGTCGACACCGCCGCTGCCGCCACCTTGTGACGCCTTGCCTCGCCTTAAACCGCCAACCCTTCGACCCCCTCACTCTGCCCTGGTCGCTCGCGCGCTCATTCACATACGCCACCACCACCGACACCACCCAATTACCTTATATAGGTTTTTTCGATACACGTGCAAGCGGGCGCGCTCGCGGCCCAAAACTTTCGACGAAAACGCGCTTGCCCCTCCGCCGTGCCTCGGAATATAATATTGTTGAATAATTTTTATCTTCGTCCTCGAGATTTATAAAATATTATCTAAAAGACTCCGCTGCCTATTGTCATACTTAAATTTTGATACGACTTTGGACGTATAGCATAACGGTTTTATTGTTACAGTTACTGTTATTAGGCACTGGCGTTTTCGTGTTATAACGTGTGTTGTTTTCCCGAGCGTCATCTGCGGGGTGGAGTATGGTCTTTGGGGTTTGAACCACCCACACCCCACAATCAATCTGTGAAAATTCTGAAACTTTGTCTTTTAAAATAAATAATATTATATACATTCCTTATAATTTCCCTACGAAAATCATATTATTCAAGACATTGTAAAGTACACTCGTGTGTATAGTAATTAATTTCATTTTCATTTTTGCTCCATTTGCTGTATGGATCTATAGAAGACAGAAATCCGCCTATTTGAAATTCTAGAGCCCATCTTTAGATTCTACCGGTTTGACTTTTAAACAAGTTATTATTTCTTCGTATTCGAGAAAAAGCTAAAATTGAACTGATAAAAATTAATTGAAAGTAAATTGGTCGGCTAAAAGCTGATCAGGGGCGGGATCAACGCTCCGAACAGCCAGTCTTGAGTCCGCCTATACTGCGCAATTTTTATAAAAAGTTATTTTCCCTTTCCTAAACGCGTCGATTTGATAACGATTTATCTATACAGATGTTTAATTCTCTTACACCATCCTCTCCGCATTATCACATGAGAAAAGGGTTTCAAAACAAATAGCACGTTTTGAACGACGATTAGGCCACAGCAGAATATGAGTATAATTAATATTTGCAGAAGATTGTAGACATATTTATAGTTTTTATACTTTTAAGTCGTACTGAGGTGAATATAATAATAATACAAATCATATAATATAATATATAATAAATATAAGATACTACAATTACTGACGTTTGCACTCTCTTCGGTACAGCACGGTGCAGATTAAACATATTTTTTTTTTAATCTCGCAACCCGCCCTGGTCGATCGGATGCAGCCGTTTTAATAAATAATATCGTATAAATGCCTCTCACTCCACCCTCCCCCCACCTTAAATCGGTCGGGTCCACGATTCGATCAACGACGAATAGGGTCCTTGACGCCCGTTTCGACTTTATATACACAAAGCCATCGAAGACGGTGAAGACGATAATCGAATTCGTTTTTATTCAGTTGAATTGATGACTATTCAAGGCGTTTGTGTATTATTATTATATTATAATACTTAATACCCAAGCCGACGCGCCTATTATTATTTATATTAAATATTATAGGACGGAACGTGGTAACGACGATGCTTTTATAAAATAGTATAATAAGACTTCAGATGTTGACGAAATATTTTATATTATGTGCCTCATTATTATAAACACGACTTCGACCAGCTGTTTCCGTAATTGTTTGGCAGACGAGTGTGGGTCCATTTAAAAAAAATATACAATGTTTTTAATAGTTGCAGTATCCGACGACGAGAATTTTGACAACAGAGTAAATGAAATATCGTAAAAGCTTTCTTAGAGAAAAAAATCCTTTTGTCAACTTCACAATCATATTATTATACAAGGAAAATGTATAATATCAGAGGTTTTGAATGAACTAATGTCTAATATTAATAATTACGATTTTACATTTAACCAAGATATACGGAGTGATCCATTTAACATAAAACACTCATCATTTCAGAAAACACTAACATTTTTGAAAACAATTATTTTATATCATCAAGTTGTTACTAAATTTTTATATTTTTATCGCTATCGTTTTTAAGTTTTATAATCTTTTGAAAGACGATACGAGTATAGATTTTTGCATTCCGAAGCAATGTATTGTTCGAAGTATTTCAATCCATAAAAATTAAATTTCGAATAAGTAGTTTATTAGTAGGTAGTTAAACAATATACATAAGTATTTAAGGTTTTGATTAGTGAAGTAGTGGACCAGCATTTGTTTATGGTAACCCTGTTCCACTCCACTTATCTACTTATCTAAAATTTAAACACTTGTAACTTATAAGATACTAATCTAAAATTCGAATTTTATGTAACTAAATACTCCAAACAATATTTTGCTTTGAAATAAATTAATAAAAATAAATGTTTTCAATAAAAATTAAATAATTATAACGATAAATAAATTGGGGATATTTAATTTTTATATAAGTGTTATTTCCTAACAACTTAAAATAATAATTTAAAAAATTATTCAATTACACTCACAGTTTTTAAAATAATGGGTCTCTTAGATGTTAAGTTGTTAACCTGGTTCACAATGATGTGTATTTTAAATATTTCAATCGAAATAGTTTAATTTTTAATTTTAAGATGTTTTATTGTTGCTTGTATTAATAATTATTACTATGAAAAGTATACACCATTTGTTGCAAATTCAGTAAAAAAAAAAATAATTATAATATAAAATAGAACAATAAGCTTAATATAAAACTTTTGATGTTTAAACTCTAGTTATTTGTTGTTTCGTGAGTTTACGGTTTTGTTGGGTAAACGTAAAAAAATATAATTGCTGTTAAAACGTTTACTACAAAAATGTGATTGAATCTCAGTTAGGGTACTCGGTAACTATGAGTACACAAGTACTCATGTACCCATATAATAATTGGTGTATTGTATATATTATTATGTTTGCGTGCGTTCAACGTTCGTCACTTTTTAAACGCGGACGTACGTGTACAAAATTAATAAAATAGCACATTCGTGACATCAAACGCTACAACTCCGTTCATTAGATAGCAAAATGTTTAGTTACATGATTTCAAAACATTATGAAACAAGGTGGGTATTAAATATTTAATTATAAATAAAATATTAACGTTTTGAGATATCATACAATTAACTATGTGGTTCTAGATATATAATATAATATAAATTCCTATACATATATTATGTATATTATTTAGGTGCTATAGTCTATTATGAACTGAATTAAACATAAGTAGTAAACTATATAGTATAGAAACTAATCATAACATATAATTAATATAATCATTATTTATACTAAATAAATTATTGAAAATGATCTACTTACGTCAAAGGACGATAGGTATGGTATTGATTTTTGAAAATAATTTTCTCACTAGTTAAATATGCCGATATCGTGAAACGAAATGGCTCAGTAACAGCACCACTGAAAGACATGGATAAAATATTAAATAGTAATTTATTACTTTAAGGATTCATTAGATAACCAGCGTTTGACACTGTAGTAAATAAAATATAGATACTTACTGATGTTATTATATTATATATGTAGGTATAGAATGTATAGGTATGTTATAAATGTATGGATATGATGAATATGCGGTAAAAATCAGACTATTAGGTATAATACTATAGCCACACGAAGGAGAGTTGCTTACAAAATATTACGATAATATTTCAAAAACGTATAACCTATTATATATAAGTATAATTATATATTATGTATAATGTATAGTAGCATATTAAAACCGTTTAAACTCAAGCGTATAATATTTGCTCAACAGACTGCGGAAGCCGACGCGGCGAATCGTGAAACTCGAGTGCAAAGTTTATACGCGTAGTGATTTGATACATTTATGTATATAAAAAATGTAAAAGAGAAAAAAAAAGTTGTCTATTTGCGAGATTAAATACAGCTGCAGGATTTTGATGGGCCACATGGTAGGGTGCAGTTTTTGTCGTTTGATCATAATGCATATAGATATTGTAATGTACAAATATATTATACTGTTTAATCTAGGTTAAGGTAATTATATCGTTTGATAAACGATTTTTCTAGCGACTAA